ACCACATACTACTGTTTTTTTGGCGGGTGTAAACGTGCGGATTGTCGCGCCTAAAACAGAAGTTAGATGAGAGCTTGACAATCTCGGTTCTGTTGACTTAACGTCAGGTTCGTTCACTAAGTGCGGGCAGAATCAAATAATTCAGGTTATAAACAGTCATTGAACGATGGCTGCCTGCCACTCGAATCTCAGCCAAACTAACTGCTGCTTGAGCGAAACCGTCCATTTTATCCGTGAAGAAGACGACATCCATCAAACCACAAACAACGAAGAAATTTTGAAATTTTTGGGTTGCTTGCAAAATATTTGCGCCAAATGCTATTCAGCCAAATCAACCGATTTTGTAGTCAACATTGGCTGAATCCTCACGTGTCGTTGAAATAAATTTGACGACGATCCTTCACGTTACTCGGGTAACCTACCTTTCTTAACGTTCTTAGCGTACCCGGTCGTGGAGCGAGCTTATCCTTGCAAAAATCTTGGCGATTTTAACCTCTTGCAGGCAGCTGCTTGCAGATTAAGACATGTATTTATAACATCTGATATTCACCGATCGGATGATTTAGAAACTCGTTTAAAGGTGGAAGTCCGTTGTAGTTTTGGGCTCGATGCTTTTACGCACACTACCGACCACCGGTTGAAATCTGTTGTGTTCATGCCAACATTGCACTGCTGACAAGCCTTGGGAAATGTTTGGTCCAAGCAAAGTAGCTAATGAGAAGTGTTTAAACATGCCGTTTGGACAAATTGTTCAATTTTTGTTCCAGTGTTCACCTGTAGTTTAGAGCGTCTACACTTTATGTCTGCCTTGGAAACCGACAGCATAGGTATTATTTCACCCATAAATACCTCATGCGTTGTTAGTGCATGCAACCAAAGAGATGTTCCAAAGACAAACGGCAAGCCGGGGCGAGAATTTGTCAAAAACAGGCACCGAGGAAATATGCGTCTTGGGCAATGAATGTCACCGAAACAGAGACAAGTCGTCAGGAAAAGCTCTAATAGGGTTATATTTCCTCTGGCACGATGACCTGTGGTGTAGAGGACGGTACTTCCCGCTTCAGACAAAACCAAATTACAGTATATTTTGGTCAGATGTTGTTATATAGCCTCACATAATGTACACAAACCCCAGTCAACTCCAATACGGGATCGGTGGTAATAGGGGTTTTTACAGGTGCGGCCGGGAAACGCACAGGCGACGGGGTCAAGTAGTTGTGTGCAAAAGAAAAGCCATTGGGAATGCGCGATTGCACTTTCGGTCGTTAAGAGATAATTGCCCTAGTCTCTAACCCCAATCCCCGACCCGAATTCTACCCCTTAACCCTGACCCCTAACCTCCATTCTGACCCCCTAACCCTAATCCCTAGCCCCAACTCCAACAGTATTGTGTCCATCAGGTGGGGCTACATAACCACATCTTACCTATACTTTCCCCTCGAAAAGTGGCCATTTCAGCACTCATCGCACACTACACCATGTTATACGTGGTCGTTTCAGTGCAAACGTTGAAAGGAGTTTGATTGCTCTGGCTGTCTTTCCGAATCATAGACCTTGAGGATATATGACGTTAAAACGACTTTCGACAGAATTTTATGAGTAGTGTTTACTAAGGAAACCAACGACATAATTTGACCCCTGAGGAACCCAAATGAGGTTCCCGGACAACATTGGTATCCAGGTAGAAATAGTTCTTGCAAAGTGAGAATCAAATTTGTCTGTTTGTGGTTTTTAAACCCAGACACCAGCTTGCTGCATAGTTGAACAGGCTTGACAAAACCTAGTGAGAACGCGTGTTCTTCGGGTCCCTGCATTGTCAGTGAATAGAGGGAAACATAACTCGTAGAGCGTATGGTCACAGCCCTTCAGAATAATCTATTTGAAACCGCCGCGAACGCCCACCAGCATGGAAAGTTCAAAAGATGCTTTTTGGTCTGTAACCAGCTTGCTTACATTGCGACCCTTCACTTAACACGGAATTCCTGAGTTCTACATCGTTATACATGGTTACCTTAATAGAATTCAGTAGCCATGTTTTCTGCTATAAACTATATCTTGCCGGGAGAAAAGTCTCACGAGCAGTAAGTAAGCAAGACTAAGACTGGTCAATGCGACTGATTGGCACAACGTTTCCTCGTATACGTAAAAATTAGTTTCAGTGTTGGGATTGAATCTGTCTGCTTGCCATAGTCAGTTGGTGAAGTCAAACAACAACTAGATTCCACCAAAAGAACACATGAAAAAGTGCAAAAGATAGTGCACTTCTGTCGTGGTGGGGAATGAACTGAATATCAGGACTGGGAGAAGGATATTTCTGATTGCGTAGGACACATACGGACGAGTCGAGCGTATATCCACGCGCCTTCATGTATTTTGATCCCATCAGACAGCACCTGAACTTTGTGTACTCTGAAGCTTTGAGTTCGACTTTCTCAACCTACGCCGGTACTGTCAGTAATGAGGATTCGGAAGGATATCGACACTCCTGACTACTCATTGATTGTGACCGAAATAAATCTCCCATCCCCACTTAACAAGCCCCAGCTATCTCTAACTCTGTTGTTTCTGGCGTTTAATGCATAAATCCCGGACGGTAGTATTCCATAGGTTTTAGCTTTACACAAGTAGATACTCCAAGTTTTCCTGTAGACAATAACCGAGACGCCTCTGCGGCCCTTTCTTTAATTCTGTAAAACTTTGTAGGTTAGTTGGAGTGAATGCTTCAGAACAGGACTACCTAGAGTTAACCTGGAATTATTATGAACGGTTGAGAGGTGTAGGTGCTGCATCACACAACAGCACATATGTTAAGCTGAAGATGTAGTAAGAGATAGCGCACTTGCGTTCGTGATCATGTCTGTCTAGCCAGTCTTGATGTTCTGCACAGTTGATCTCCATGCGTACGGACCTGTAGCAATGTATCCTGTGGGTTGAACTCAATTTCTCCTTCGGCAGCGAAGACTGAACCCCTGAGCCAAAGAACCACCCATATAATTTGGCGGACAGTATCTAGTGGGGTTTGAGCTTACCTCCATTTTGTGATCTCTAAAGAGAGTCGTGGCATCGAATTTAGGGCATCAATCCTGAACTCAAGGAGCGGAAGGCAGAGGACGCGGTAAGCGCACTTCATTTGTTGTTCATGAATGGTACGGGATATGATTGTGTGCATTTTACTACCCTCCAATGGGCCATGCGGGAGATTCATGGACCAACACGAGAACTACATCGGAGTCCGGCAGACGTTATTGGGAATGCGCAGCCATAACATATGCCAACATTGGGGGGTGTAGCGGTGATTGAAGTATCACAAGGGATACGTAGACACATACCGACAATCACAGAACCCTACGGTCGATACCGATTCAAAGACAAGGCTCGGTTCCTCTGGTCTCAAGCTTAAGCTCCAAGATATTTGTGACTGTCCAAATATCTAAGCCAACATTCACTAATTACGATTGCTTTTTGACAGTCTCGGACGTTAATGACTAAGGTGACTGATATCCTGGCCCCGTTCCCCGAATCTAGGTATTGGTCGTCATGACCTGACGGTAGCGGAAAGGCATCGTCTGCGCAGTCGTCGGCCAGCCAACGTCCCTGTATAAAACTTAAACCATCGAAACGGGATATATAACCTTCGATAACGGTGATAATTCTGTCTGCACAGCGTGTATCTCCATTATCTGCAGGCTATTAATGGACGAAATCGGACGTTGTCGCTAAATCAATAAAAGAGGTGGTTACTGACTGATGCTAGAAGTAGCTGAGTTCGATTATGTTTCATAGCGTGAATATCTGACGGTGCGCTTACGCGCGGCTCGGATTCCAATTTGAGTGAGTCTGCTGAAATTACAGCTTTGGTTTTGCAACAAGCTTGCTATCATAAAAAATCGCGGAATATGACACATGGTTTTTTGGGCGCGGCTTAAATCGAGTCCCGAGGAATGTGCGAACGATAAAATCTGACTTGAAGGTGCCGTCGATCCCCGCATAACACACCCGTCTTCTGTCACGTACCCGGATACGAAAGAGTCGAGTACTTAACTTTGACGGCTGGAAGATCGTTAGATACCAGATCGCCTGGGGTTTGCGTGATGCCGAAAGCACGTCGTAGGATATTCCGTTTTGATCAACAAATGACAAAACCTAGAGCGGCCGAGTAGGTAGCTTTTTGATGTGTCTTCTGACACCCCGATCATTCTAGTCAATGGCAACAACTACTAGATGATAGTGAGAAGCCTATTTAAAATCAGTTATTACAGCCCTGAATAAGTCGCTTTGCTAAGCAGATTATGCAGCGTTGATGGGGACACAGCGAGTCCCAGTATTCATTCCGTCACGGTGGGCTATAGGATAATCAGTGTAGCAGCCCTCAGTCCTCTTAACCCTTGTAGTACTGCCGACGCCAGACGGCGACTGCATAATCACTACATGTGAAATTTTGCGAATTTCACAGCTACCCCAATGTTTTCCATCAGTGGAGGAATCGGGCAGTTGGAAGACAGGCCAGTCTTCCGCTAAAATGTGTGAGTAGCAACAAGGTCAGCTCGCCAGGACACTTATATTCAGCAAATTTATGAAGATGGCAGAAATGCATATGACCCTGTACGAGTTCTTCTTCCAGCTAATTTCACTATTCGTTACCAAACTCCAAAAGCACCAAGAAGATGGAGTGCCCTGGAAGTACATGGAACTATACAGGAGATCACAGCGCGGCTTGCCAATATTCAGCAATAGCATTACTTAAAAATAGTCTGCCTCCGTCTCTCTAGCCGACTAACCTGCACTAGGACAATTACGGTACAAGAGAAAACTGGTCAGTTTTGGAATGACTGCGGCTGAGCGTCTTTCAGGATAAGGTGAGAACGTGAGGACTTAACGAGGGAAAGCGATACCTTTGACAACTAACTACTGTGACAAACACAGACGAATTCCGCTTTCAGCACGAGAGTAGTTTCGAAAAGTCATTTAATAAAAAGAAAAACATTTTACAACTGTGACTACTAGTCCACGACAATCAGTCCTTGATGGGCCAGGAAAGGACTGTGGCCGTAAGGGAACCTAAAAGAAAATTGCACACAAGTAAAATGACAGGCTGCGATGAAAAATGCGAGGTGTATAGCCCGACTACCTTTAACTTGTGTCAAGTGTTCTGCCTATTAGTGTGTGAATTACTGAGGCTTATTCACACTATTACAAATGTCTGCAGCGCAAATTGATAGTTCGGCCATCATAGCTGGCAAGCATCGCCATTGTCCCGAGGCCGCAGTGATGACCTGCGTGTGAATCAAACAAGCAAACACCGAAGTACTACACACACTGGCTCTCTTCCCATACCTACCCTGTTCTATTGATAAGACAGTCAAGGAGATGAGTGTGGACACATTGACTGCCGTGTGCTGACCTCCATATGCACACACAACAGGCAACAAAGTGTCTCGAATCTCTCATTGAAAAAGTCGAAGGATACATCAAGGAGTCATTTCAGTTTGACCTTTACTCCTTGTTAACATCACGCTCGCCCATGGCTGACCCATACGGCCAGTTTTGTGATTGGCTGGCTCTGGTCAGTAGTTTCCGCGGGCATAATCTGCCAAACATTCTCTTGCATGATTGGCGTTGATGGTGGGGATGAGGCAGTAAGACTGTGCCCAGGCAGCAAATTGGATCACCAACCGCATACAAGGCCACAACTCTGAGTTGATATTGCAGGGTTAGACAGAGACGGGTACAATGTTATCCGGAGTCTTCAGGAGCATTAAGTTAGCAATCACCCTAACGAAGACTTTTAGCGCGTCATATTTGTTATATTCGGAAATGTGCTGAAGTATCATGAGATAGTGTGATTAAAGATGTCTGATAGACGGGAAGCTGTTGACAGTTCCGTTCGGTGGGAAATAACCGTTTATAGTGCACATAATCTAACTAGAAGTCAGGCAAGTAAGACATATTCAGCAACAGAATATTGGTTGACAGAGACCTAAAATAGTTGGCAGATTGGAGCGGTGCGCTTCGATCAAGGTGACGCAGCTGGTAAACCGAATGCTTCATCCACTTTTTTATACGGTGATATCACAAACAATGCAAAAATAGGCGAGATAAATGACAGATGATGTGGACCTGTTTAGTATTGATTAGGGCTCTTGATACTGGTGTTTTGGCGCGCGGCGATGGATTCGAAAAAAGAACTAGTGGCAAGGGGCCGCTGCATCCAAGACTAATCACAGCTCATACTGCTACCCTATTTAAAGTAGATGTTTTTGTTGATTCAAAGATCACTTTTATGTCATCTGCCGACATCGAATACCATTACAGTACCCAAATAGCCAGGAAAATTTCACATCATAAATTCTGTGGATGCAAGCTCATCGAAGTAGGGCTGAACGTGCTTAGTCAGAACCGTTAAACCAGACGTTTAAATGAATCGGAATCAAGAAAGACAAAGTAAAAACAGCTATACTTTTACCAGGGTCGGGCCATATGCCAAGGAGCGTAGAAGCATATAAGAATGGAATCCCTGGCAAAGTGGATCTGAATGCTAAGACTGCCAGAATTTCTGCGACTAGGAGTGCTTGTGCACGATAAAAGAAATCAACTCACCTTCCTACTTGTCCTTGAATTCTTTTATGGCTTCTGAAAGCCTACTAGTGCCCGAATCCCATGCGCGTTTTGTGGCGGATGACACGACGGAAGGGTAACAAACTGTAAATCCTACACCGGTACTAAGGGTGCCGTACACAGCCTGACGAAGTACTCCACCTTCAGGCAATAAAAACAAGCGGAAAAATACCTTTGCTGCCCAGGACGAGACCTCCGAGTCCACAGACGGTGACAAAGCCTCCTCGAGCAAGTACAACCGGATCTTCCCTAACGTAGTCACAAACTTCTGCAAAAAAAGTTGGATAAATAAAAGATCGTACTTAGGGAGTTCTCCACTAGACACTTCACAGTTTTCTGAGTGTTTGTCTGCGGAAATTAGTTAACAAAGTTAAACATACTTCGGCGGTCGTGTACCATTCTTGGATAGATCTCCGGGTGGGTGTAATAGCGCTCAAAAGGTAGTTTCGAAGAGAAGAATTTTCTCGCGGGGTCAGGACATATTCTGTATTCTCGTCAGGAAATTTCTTGTAAATTGGCAGCTAAAATGGGTGAAAGAAATATCACACGCATGAAAAAAATCGTACTTCGCCCGCTTTCATTGTGAAAAATCCACAACACTCGAACGAAGGCGCCCCTTCCTACTTTGGCTCTACCGCCGGAATTTCGGTCTAGTAAAATCTACCTCATTGATCATTCACGGAAGATAATTCATACTCCATAGTGTATATCGCACTTAAGATTTCTTATAACAGTGCTCAGTTTATGTATTTTAGTCGTTACCGTGCCGCAAGAACTTAGAGCACATCCGATCCCCTATCTGGGTTAAGATTTAGAATCGTATGCTCTTGCCAACTTGCTTGCTCAAAACCGTCCGTAGAATTTTCATATCATGCGAACCATAGGGTTCTCGCATTAGTAAACAGTACCCGTGATATGGAGTTTTGGGATGATGGAATAGCTTACTAATATGGAAAAGTTACCTTCGAAAATTTATGCACATTCCTGCTAAATGAAATAATTCAACTTTGACGGAACACCCGGCTCTCCTAATGGTTTCATGGTCAAATGCTTCGTTTAGGAGAATTTCACACTTCCGACAGATTGCGACCATGTTAAGTCAAACAATCCCTTGTGAAATTTAAATAAGACACATATGGAAGTTAATGTACTTCGCGTCAAAACTAAAGGATGAATTGTAGTGTAAACGGCAATTAAACTGCAAACAAAAATAAATATCTAACTCTAAGTGGGGGATGCTGCGTTTCTTACAATAAAAAAGTCGAAAATGTGAGTAAACCTACAGAATTCCTTATATTTTTAAGAACTGGACTCTTCCGATGTGATTCCGGATGGGTCCTTCCAACCTAGCGTCGATACGGACATTCGGTGTCAGTTCCGTCGCAAAGTCTGACACATCTCCGACTTCTACCCAGTAGTTCTGTTCCATACACTGTCGGCGCATTTCTTTGTATCTGCCGTCCAAATGTCTTACAGATATGTCAGAAACACTACCTATGGGCGGATCACTCAATAGTGTAACGTTATTCTTTGTGTTTTGTTTTATATTCGAAATAGGTTTGGTTGTAAAAACGAAGTTACCTAGGCAAGAAATTGATAATGCCACACATGCGAATGATCCGTTTGAGTGGGAGTGTGTTACTGTCGGCGATTATAAATAAAATTATCATGGGAATGAGCTGACTGTAGAGAGAGTATGGCAGTGGCCTAAACTGAAAACGTATCAACGTTTGTGTATAAAGACGTACCGGCTATCCACACCGACACTAGAACACAGTAATCATTTCTTAGATCGACGTGGAAGTCTATTCCGTCCTGACGATTACAACATGACTTGTTGGCTATAACAGAACATTTCGGCAGCTTAACACGTTCCTCTGTATTTTAAGTCCAAGAGAATTTCCGTGAATAACAATCTTGTCGTTGGGGTAAACGCAACATCTTGACATTAGTATTTTGACCTTACTTACTTGTTTTATTTATTGCAAGGCCACGGTTGGTAATAGCTTTCACCTTGGCTAAGCCATGACCTACATTTGTTTGCACGGACGATAACACAATAAATTCACAGTTTGTATAAAAGGGGCTTTACTCGGAACCCATGTACGACCGACAAAAAAGGGAAATTAACTTTGCATTAAATGGAACTGGGCCAAACGTCGGACCTGGGAGTTATGATCCAATAATAGGAGATCCACATTGCAATTGCGTGGGTTTTGCGCCCTTCGGATCGCTTGCAGGAAGACATCTGTACACAAACCCTGAGGCCGATACTAAACCTTCACCGACTCAGTACACACCCGGTCTTCCTTTACAAAGAGTGACGGTAGGCATTTTCCTTAAGCGACTAACATTTGACTATTATTTCGAAATGCATGCAATTACTAATAGTTTATATGGGAGATGTCAATTATATGACGATATACATATGATATTGAGGTTCTCGACTAGTTAAAGTTATTTCTACTTTTAAAGCTGATGTTTTACCTTTATAAAGACGAAACAACTATAGTTGTTTGTATATTACTGTACTTCATCGAATCATATGATAATGATCATTATCATATGATTATGAAGAATGGTGAGTGGTTTGTGTGTTTTATATGGCAGAGGGTCAGCTATGCTGAAATTTAATTTCCATTTGGTAGCACGCTTTGGTGGTACCGTTACAAATATTTGGCATTTGGCTATAAAAATTCATTTTGCTTTACACGACTTACATTGCACGATTAAATCGTCGGTTTAAATTCTAAGCATATGCGCAAACCTTAGCAGCATAGTAATCAAGGGGTACTAAACGCTAAAAACACGCAATCGGCAATGCTAAGATGGTAAGATATATTGAAAATTTCCTAAAATGAGTGCGGGACGTTCATACCGAAAGGTTTGGCGATGAGAGTGGTAAAAAATGATTCGTGGCGAAGTGGATAACATCAAACAACGTATATTATGTCTGTCGCAGAGAACTATGTCATGATTCATAGTATAAATATTGTAGAACCAAAAGACACCTGAAAAAGTTTGTCCTGATTCCAGATGCACCTTAGTCTTAACATTTCTCCCTTAACACTTTGTGTTTGACTGGGCCAAAATATTGTCATGGCAATATTTACAGAAAGGAATCATTTTACTCGTTATCCTCCGTCAGCTGCAATTGTTTAGTGAAGTTTGCTTGGATCAAATAATTTCCGTCTATCTTCTTAGGCATAAAATCGTTTTACTTAAAAACGTCCGTTTTTGTTCCCTTAGCAGCTTGTGAGAAAAAAGTGGAGTGGACAGTGATCGTGTTTATCTTGGTAACAATCAGCACGGTTCCTACATGAGATCATTCTTCATATACAACAGTCTCCATTTTAGTCAGAAGTCATAAATCTTCCCGTTGAATTGCTAACAAACTTTGAGCTTACTGCTTTTTCAACGCTAAAATCTCTGTAAGGATGGATTTGAACATTTACAGTAAGAAAATATAGTTCTTTCAGCGTGTGTTAAAGCCTTTAGATTGTCAAAAAGCCTGACAAAAATGCGTGATTACAGTTTCCTCAATAAACAGTATTGCACAGAAAGCCATTGAAGAGGTCGATTTGGATGTACATCTTCAAAGGGAAAAAAATAGTACAACCTCCCCTTGAAGTATTGCTGACGCTATTTCTGAAAGGAAAATAGTCTCAGATATTTAACTGATGAAGATAATTAAATTTTAAACTAGATTTGCACTATATTTGTTGAGTATCGATTGAGACTATACTATATGATACACAAAGTAGACAAAAAACCATCGGCCCAACAAAGAATTTTTAGAAATTGCTAACGTATCTGGAGAAAACTGTGAAAGAGATTGAATAATGGCAACAAGATTCCGCTATAGGCAAGCATAAAAGACTCCCAATAGGCAACTTTCAAGAGATATTTACGACGGGTAATGTTTTATTTTAAGTGGAAACAGCATTGTGTTCTGACTGTATGGTCAGGCAGGCTGCCACATGGCCGATGTGCTGACAAAAATCGTTAACTCGTTTAGATAAAAAGTGTTACAAGTTGCTCGATCTAAAAACAAACCTGGATGAAAATCAATTTTTCATTATACATTATGGGAATTTTTGCAAAATTCGCGCAAGATTGTTCGTATTTTTGCATAAAAACTAATGTCTTTGAAAACGTTGTAATTTTAAATCCCTTGGTCAGCACATTTGTTATGTTTATCCTAGCTTAAGCACAAGATTGGAATGAATTGCTAGTTTATTTATGATCAATTAAAGGGACAAATGTAAACAATTTTGTTAAATGTTCGCAAAATTATTCTGGATAAGAGAAATCATTTATCATTTTAGCGGCTCTTGCTTAAATACAAGTGAGTTGCATGATGTGTACTGATGTAGACATGCAGCACATATAAGTAAGATTATCCAAATTTGAAAGTTCGTGGTTTTTATTAAGAACACTTGATTTAATCTACCATATCTTTAAAAGCGAACGTTTCGAACGTTCATAACTGTGGGTTTTACGTTCTGACAATTACGCGGTTTGGGCTTTTTTAAAAAAATGCCATGCACACAGAAGCCGTCATTTTTCTATTTATTTCATTTGGCGCAGTTATTTCGAAAATCGCATTGTTTCCAGTCGTAGTTTTTAAGGTATGTCGATTATTGTCATTTATTATAATACATACAAATCTGTAGTTCCCCACTGCTCCTTAAGGTACTCTTTTGCATTTAAATGTTGTTTCAATTATCTGGCATTGTATGTTCATTATTTAGAAACTTAGGACGCAATTACTTTTCAGTATGTCTTAAGTGCCTCGTTTGACTAGGATTTCCAACACAATATCAGTTTTTAAAAATATTGCACAATAGTTTAATCTAAGTCCTGAGCGGCTACTGCAACGGATTTGCAAACGGCCTGCAGAAATCAAGGTATTTCAACTTTGGGTCTCATATAAAAAAATTTAAAAGCTGAGATCTGTTCATTGCCTCGTCTGTGAACTATCAGCAAGAGAAGGATGCTGGTATCCTCGCAGTTGGAAGAAAACTCCCTTTTTGACATATTTCGTCATATATTTGTAAAGTTAGTTCAAAAGGCTACGTCTTAGAGCTTAATGTTGTACACTTTTATGCACAACTTAGCTTTCTGAAAGACGGGTATTGTTCGTTTTCTGCTTTCTAAACTCGAAACTCGTCATAAAACATTTGGCCAGATATAATGCATCTTTTTCCTATTTGCATCGGTATCCGGGTGTAACATAAATGTATGGATTACTTGCCCGTGAAACTCACAGCCCTTACGCACTATAGAAGCTCCTTAGTAAGAATTATTAAATGTATTCTCCTAAGTGTGGCTAAGTATGTATTTTTGAAACTGATTTGTTCAGGATTCAAAGTCTTCTCAAAATGTAGCCTTATGTCCGGGATAAATAGTGTGGGAGTGAGCTCCAATTAACCTGCTTGTAAGATGGGACAATCCTTTTATGTTTTTCCTTGAGTTTTCGGTCAGAACTCTTTTGAGTGGTCACATGCGGCATTGACAAAGGCAAGGGATGGCTATCTGCGGTTCGATAACCCTTGTCTGTCAGTCATCCCCTGACCCC